AAAAAAAAAAAAAAAAAAAAAAAAAAAAAAAGACAGCCACCCAGTCACTGTGGGTTAAACACCTCCTTTTTTTTTACTTTTTCCTGAGATGGAGTCTCATTCTGTCCTCAGGCTGGAGTGCGGTGGCACGATCTCAGCTTACTGCAACCTCCGCCTCCCAGGTTCAAGCAATTCTCCTGTCTCAGCCTCCTGAGTAACTAGGATTACAGGTGTATGCCACCATGTCTGGCTCATTTTTGTATTTTTAGTAGAGACGGGGTTTCACCATATTGGCTGGGCTGGTCTCAAACTTCTGATCTCGTGATCCACCTGCCTCGGCCTCCCAAAGTGCTGGGATTACAGGCGTGAGCCACTGTGCCCAGCCTACCCAGCCTCTTTGGATGCTCATGCCTTTCAGCTGACAAGCAAAAAGAGGAGTGACTGTGCTCACTAGATAATTAACCCTGGCTATCTAGGATACTTAGGACAACTACTCCACAACAGAGGTTAAGAAAAAGTGTGTCTGGAGTATAGGAGATCCCGTAGGATACCTCTTAGTATTATTGTACCCTGTGATTAAAGATTCAGCTCAGGCAAAATGACAAACGGCCAAGGGCCTTCAGAAATGAAAGTTTGGGTCACTCCATTAGGTAAAAATAGCTATCACTCAAGCTCCTTGCTGAGAACAAAGAGAATATGAAATGGCCAGTGGAAGAAGGTATACTATGAATATATATTGGTAACATTTTATAGATAATGTGGTATAAGAAAACAGTGTGGCTGGTGTTACATAATAGACATCCTGAATTGCTGGTCCTTGTGGCTACCTCTCCTGATATGTCTCAAACACCCAGGAGCCAGGTCCTGCAACCTCACTTTCTAACCATCATCTATAACAATAATGTTTCCACACATTAAATCTCTTTTTAAGCCACCAAAGCTTAGTTTTGTTTTAAAATCCATTATTTCTTCATGTCCTATGAGTTTAAGAAGGTAGAGAGGGAAAGATTATTTTATTTTGGAAGAAAGAAACTGTGCTTCTGAGAGGATAAGTCTGTCCCATGGTCAACAGAGAGTAAGGGGGAAAGGGAACATGAGTACGTTTTGTCTGGTTCTAGGGTCAAGAGTCTGCCCTCTCCCACCTCAGGGGAGAGAGTTCAAGTGTATCAATGGGGTGAAATGACAGGAAATCGGTAGTGTCCAAAGGTTACAAAGTCAGAGGTTTGGGAGTCATTTTTTTTCATTCCTAGGAGAACTTGACTTAAAGAAGCTAAAAATGTTTCCCAAAGAATAAAGGGAAGTGTGTTGAGCTTCTCATCTAAGAGGAATGCTTCAAATGTGTAAAGGTGAGAAGAGCTCGAACAACTAAATCTGCAGAAGTCTAGTGGCGGCAGGTGCTACATAGGGAAGAGAGCAGTTTCCAGGAGTAGATAAAGAGGTGAGGATGGACACTGTGTGCTGATGATGTGATCATATTTGAGGGGGAATAGCCAAGAGACTGTTTCATGCTATTACTCACAAATTCATTGTTCTACTATAGTCCCTTCCTCTTCCTCTACTCTGGAGAAAAAATACATGTCAGTGCTGACTCCTTTGCATGTAGTCAATATTATGAATTTTTATCATTTCAGAGTGGACAGACATCCAATGCTGTTGTGGTAAGAAGACATTTCCAGATAAGCTGTGCCTCTGGATGGAATTCTGGGAAGAAACATGAGGGTGGTTGGTGTATTTGGGGATACATGTGTTTGTGTATATATATGCATATTTACATGTGCATAATATACACGTATATTATGTATACATTTATATGTATTCTACATATATAATCTAATACTTTACATGTATTACACATATATATGCATTTGTATTATGTTTATGTAATTATAAATTACACATATAAATATACACACATAATATATATATGCAGTGTGTGTGTGTATATGTGTGTGTGTGTGTGTGTGTATATATATATATATATATATATATACACATATATGTATGTTTTTCCAGAAGACTAGATTTGATGAAGAGAGTAGTTGTCAGATCTGGGTAAAAGTCCTATCGTCAAGGCAAAGAACAATGGGAATGTATCTAGAGAATCAACATACAATGAGTAAAAGTGAAGCTTTTCCCAGACTTTACCTTCATCGAGTCTCCTCTGTCCCCACTCTCTTCTGAAGAAGGAAAGATAGGGCTCTCTTTTTTCCTCCCTGATTGCCAAACTGACCCAGAACATTAGACTTTCAAAAGTACTCTTATTCTATGCAATGGAACACATACAATTGTATAATTTTTACATCGTTATTGTGGTTCTATGAAATTTTCTGCTTCTTCCTGATTGTAAGGTTGTTAATTTTAACTCATTCATTTTACAGAGATTTAAAACTTAGCATTGAATTGTGTAATAATGTTTCATAATTTTTTAGTGATCTATAACAAACCACTTTTTTCACACTTTTTTTTGAAAGCGAGTCTCGCTCTTGTCGTCCAGAATCGAGTGCAGTGGCACAATCTCGGCTCACTGCAGCTTCCGCCTACTGGGTTCAAGTGATTCTCATGTCTCAGCCTCCCGAGTAGCCGGGATTACAGGGGCATGCCACCACGTCCAGCTAATTTTGTATTTTTAGTAGAGATGGGGTTTTGCCATTTTGGCCAGGCTGGTCTTGAACCTCTGACCTCATGTAATCTGCCATCTTGGCCTCCCAAAGTGCTGGGATTACCTCCGTGAGTCATGGCACCCAGCCTATCACACTTTTTTATTGTTATACTAAGTTAAAATTCTTTTGACAAATTTTTTATTCCAACATTAGCAGGAGCAGGAACATCACTGGCAAGAGTGGGAACAACAGAGAGTGGGGAGAAAGTGCCACACTCTTAAATAACCAGATCTCCCATGAACTCACAGCAAGAATGTATTCATTACCATGGGGATGGTACTAGGCCATCCATGAGGCCCCCATGATCCAACCACCTCCCACCAAGCCCCACCTCCAACATTGGGGATTACATTTCAACATGAGGCTTGAGCAGAACAAAAATCCCAACCATATCAAGGATTAGTTAATATTGTATTGCATATTGGGAATTTGTTAAGAAAGTAGATTTTACATGAACTTATCACCTGCTCCCCCCATGCACGGTAACTATATGATATAATGGATGTATTAATTTACTTGGCTGTAGTAATCACTTTACCATGTAAATATATATCAAAACGTCATAACATATATCTTAAATATATACAATAAAAATAAGGAAAAAAAGCCCTATTCTCAGTATAAAAAGTTCTACAAAACAAAATTAGAATTGGAGTGGTCTTGACAGTGGAGTCTGGAAACCTGAAAAATGAGACTTCAATAAAATCAACCACTATTCCTCTGCAGAGCACAAAACAATTGCACAGGACATTACCACAGCTTACACTTTTTAGTAATCATGAGAGCAAATATTTATTATGTTCCAGACACTAAATTGGTGCATTACATTTAGAGACATCTAGTTTTACACAATAATCTTAATAGGTTCAGTCTTTTTTTTTTTCCTTTTTTTTATCCAGCCCAAAATGTCAGGTGCAGGCTTAAATCACGATTTGTATTTCAGGTAAAAAAATGAGAAAGTATTCAACATGATTAGAAAACAAGAGACGAGGTTTGAGCTGAAATACTCTGGACATAAAATCTCTCTGAATACACATATTGATTAGATTTTTCTCTCCTTGATTCCTTGATGTACCTGGGGTATCCTGAGCAACACACTGACATACTCTGCAAGAATCTTTAGTTGATGTTGGTGGTGGTCATGGGCTGGTTCCTATGAACCACCTAGGTAGAATGGATGGTGGCTAACAGGCTCTGGGCCTCTTCATATCAGTGATAAAGCAAAACACAGAGAAATGAGAAGGCAAGGATGTTATATCAATACTGCTGTGCCTTTAAGAGGGATTAGATAACTTTCTCTGAAAATATGAAAAAGAGTCAATGAATAAATAAGCATCTCTCATAACTCAAGCCAAATGTATTGTACATCTCAAGGATGAGTGAAAGTTCTAAAGTAAGGGAGGGAGACCACAAGGAAGCAATGGTCTAAACGTTGCGGATAAGTCAGATGCAGGAGATGAGTCAAGACAAAGGGTTGTAGGTGAAGAAATGGGAAAATTCAAGAGCTTGGTGGGCACAGAGTCATGGGAGCTGGACACTTCCAAGGATTGAAATATGGATATACAGGCTGAGAAAAGCAACATTTAGAGAACTTATAAATGAGGGAGCCATGGCTTGTGACATTGAAAAATGAGACAATGCCTGCTTCATAGTCTAGGAAAACCCCAACACGGCAGGGAGGCACAGCCATGGAGAGAGTCAAAACCTCAGAATCAGAGGACAAAGACTGCTCAAAGGCCCTATACTTACATTTATTCTGTAACCCTATAACCCAGTAGCCAAATAGAGGTCTATATTTGGAGTAAACATTTTGATGATTTGCACATCTTCTAATGACATGCTTTGTATTGCGGGAATGTGTTCTACAATATACCCCCAGGATCCAGGCAGTTTTCTTGGACACATCCACTTCCCAGTAATGTTTCCCTGAGGAGAAATATTGGGATCCCAAGATACCAAAATTATAACACTTAAAAGGCCAAATTGGCACAGATATCACTTGTCTCTGATCTTCCGAAAGGACAAGATTCAAATTTAGGTTGACTGGATTCATTGTGACATCCACTGCAAGAAAAAATATATATATATATTATATACATATATGAATATAATCATCTATGTGATATATATGATTAGGCGACAGATATGGAGTAAGTTTATCTTATGAAGGAACTCAGAAAGTGACTGAAAAACGTGCATTGATGAATTATGGGAGGAGTAAAACACTGGAGAAATGTATTATGCAAATGTTTTGGGAGGTGCTGAGAACAAATGAGGCTATGATTAGAGGATATCATTGAAGCCACAAACCACACACTTCTGAAAGGTAACTGGAACACAGTTATTTAAAGACTGAAACTTTTTCTTACCCCAGTAGCATCGGACAGCTGTCAGTTCTGAAATAATAAAAGATTCAGTGATGCTGATTAGAAACAAAGGAGTAAGCACTGATACCTACCTATTGTTTAGAGTAGGGACAGGGGAAGGGAATACCGTGAAGCTTTGAGCTAGTGAATTAAAAGATAAACCGGAGACCTAGCCATTTTCTTTACATATAAACACATCCTCTCTATCACAGAATATTCCTTATTCTCTGACCTCCCTCCTCTCTTCTGTCCTCAATTTTAAGTCATCCCACCTAGATAGTTTATTACCTGACACCACAACAATCCCACGTCCACAGTCTTTATCTGCTTCTCCTCACCTCTAAACATTTGCAGCATCCTACTCAGATCTGGAGCGTAGAATACAGTCTTCGGTTTCTGGGAAAGAGTTTTTGGCTTTCTCAGCCTCCAGATCTCACTCCTAGGGATGACAAAAATTTTTTGACTCCCACATCTCTCATCCTGTGTCCATCACTCCCACACCACTGGTTTCATCTCCTTCACATCACTGATGCACTTGAACCCTCCTTCCTGAGTCTGAGGAGGAGAGAAGAAAGAGCCTGACCCTGGAGCTAGAAGAAATGTGTTCGTGCCTACCTTCTCTCTTATCCTCTGGGTGACCTTGAGAAGGTCTTCATTTCTTGAAAGCAGTTTCTTACTTAAAAATGAAATAATTAAACCCTCCTTTGATGTCTAATGGAAACAGTACAAAATTGGATAAAATAATGCATAGGAAAATACTTTGCTACCTTTAGAAACAGTATGTGATATGCGGAAAACTCACTGCATCTCAGTGGATCTTCTGGCAGGGGCCGGAGATGTGGGTTTCTGGGCAAATCAAGAGTGACGCTGCAGATCCTGACTGTGATATGGGGTTCTGCAGGGAAAGCCTGTGAGCCTGTGCCCTAGTTCAAAGCCTGAACTCCAGTGGTATGGCCACATTTGAGATTTCAGATTCTCTAGGACACAGAAACACTTGGCAAAGGAGAAGTTATGACTACCTAACTAAAGATGCTTAGAATTTTATGTGTTTGTAAGAAACTTGATGTTTCCAAGTGGGTTGGCAACTTTAGACACAAGGACTACATTTTTCCATAGGAGCTTCTAAAGTGTGTAAACAGGCAGAGATCAATTATTGTCACCAGAGTCAAAGTCACCATCCTGAGGCTTGAGTCTACTTTTGGAAATCTAAAGAAAACCTTGCATAATGATATGGTACCTTCTTTTCCTGAGTAAGCAAAGTAAATATAAAGGAGCTATCTCCATCCCCTATTTTAGGATTTGACAAGGTGCTCCCTGTGATATGACAAACATATATAAAACAAAAAATCTAGGGTTGGATACAGGACAGAGGATGAATGAAACGAGTCAAGTCACAAGAGTCTGACAGTAAAAGCTCTCATCCTTAATATCCTTTCTGGCTCTAGCTCTCAACTTCAACCACTGAATTTACTACTATAGGATTGAATCCATTCTTAATAGTTACGGAAAACTCAAATCTTCATCTGGGACCAGAAACTTAAGGTAATACTACATCCAAATTTTACTACTCTGGGAGATTTTTTAATTCTGATTGACTACCTAATAGTTACAAACATTTCTTTATAACTCACAAGCACCACTCTTGACCATCCATACTCACCATTTCATGATTCCACTCATGTCCTAGAAAGAAAAGAGAAAACATGAGTCAAGGTGTATAAAGACTAGTGTAAGACTAATGAAAGAAAGAAGAACAATAGAAAAAAATGGAAAAATCAGAAGTAAGTTATATGAAAATGTCAACAAAATTGGCAAACATTTAGCTAGACATACCAAGAAAAAGAAATCAGGAATGAAAGATGAGATATTACCATTGACCTCACAGAAATTAAAAGGATTATAAACATGATAAACAACTATATGCTAACAAATTAGATAATCTAAATGAAATAAACAAATTCCTAGAAATATAGAAACTATCAATACTGATTAAAGAACACACAGAAAATATGAATAGGCCTAAAACATGTTAAGAGATTAAGTTGAAAATCAAAGACTTCCTACAGAGAAAAGACCTTACTCAGATGCCTTCACTGCTGAATTCTGCTAAAGGTTTAGAAAGAAGTAATATCAAAACTTCACAAACTATTTCAAAAATATAGAAGAGCAGGAAACACTTCCTAATTCATTACATGAGACTTATCCTACCCTGATAAAATAACCCTGATAAAAGAACTGAAGACATTACAAGAAAAGAAAAACATAGGCCACTATCTCTTATGAATATAAATACAAAATTCTCCAACAAAAATATAAGAAAATCAAATCCAGCAATCCAGCAAAAAGATTGTAACTAAAGCCCAAGTAGAACATATCACAGAAATGCCAGGTTGGTTCAACATTAAAAAAAATCCATTTGCCATTCTTTGAAGTTAACATCTAGATGTGAAATGTTAATCCTACGGCATTTATAATTTTTGATATTCCAATATTTTTTAAATTCCAAGTGACCAAATAGCAACCAAGACTGAATTAAATAGGACAAATGCCTAGACAAATGACATAAACACAGTGTTCTTTTGTGAAAGTGGCGATTCAAAGGGTTGTGAAGAGCTTATGGAAGAACTATAAAAAAGGGCCTACAGAACCTTTTTGTTTTTGTTTTTACTGAAATGTAGTTCAAATACCACAAAATTTGCATTTTACAGTGCATAATTTAACAGGTTTTAACATAGTCACAATATTGTGTAACCATCATTGCATAGAAAATCCAGATCATTTTCATCACTACAAATAGAAATTGTGCACTAATTAGCAATTACTTCCTATTTATTCTTCCCCAGAGCCATGACAACCACTAATCTAATTTCTGTATTATGGATTTGCTACGTATAGACTTTCATATAAATGGAATCATACAAAAAGAACTTTGTGTCTGCCTTCTTTCAGTTATCATAATGTTTTCAAGAAGCATCCATGTCAGCATGTATTATTACTTCATTATTTTTCATAGCTAAACAATATTACATTGTTTGAATATAACACATTTTCCTTATCCATTCCTTAGTTAAGGAGATTTGAGTTGTTTTTATTTTTGAACAATACTGCTGTGAACTTTCATATATACATTTGTGCAGAGATATATGTATTCAGTTCTTCTAGGTATATATGTAGGAATGGATGGCTAGGCCACATGAGAACTCCCTTTAAGTTTCTGAGCAACTTCCAGTTTTTCTAAGTAGATTTACGATTTTACATCTCTACTAGCAATTCAAGAAGGTTTCAATTTCTTCACATCTTCCCCAGTACTTGGTATTGTCCATCTTTTTTGATTATAGCCATCCTAATGAGTGCAAAATATGTTTAGGAACCTCTGTTCCAGAGTAATCTTAAATTTAAACAAAAAGAAGAAGACAAAAGGAAAAAGGAAGAAAAGAAATCTGGGATATAAGCACCAGAGACAAAGGAAACAATTCAACAAATGAAAATCAGTTACTCTCCTGCTTCATTCCAAAACTTAAAAAGGAAATATTGGCCGAGGCGGGTGGATCACGAGGTCAAGAGATCGAGACCATCCTGGTCAACATGGTGAAACCCCGTCTCTACCAAAAATACAAAAAATTAGCTGGGCATGGTGGTGTGTGCCTGTAATCCCAGCTACTCAGGAGGCTCAGGCAGGAGAATTGCCTGAACCCAGGAGGCGGAGGTTGTGGTGTGCCGAGATCGCGCCATTGCACTCCAGCCTGGG